CTATGTAACCTCTGCCCAGACCCAGGATCTTCCTTGGACACCACCCACACACAGCACAAAGCCCCACTCCCCTCTGGCTCCCCGTCCCGTTGCGGCCCATCTGTTTGCCTCTGTGAGCTGAGAACACCCTTTGGTTCCCATTCCCCTTGATAAGCATCCCTTTCCTCATTGAACTGTCCCTGCCCATCACTGAGCCCCCCTCCTCCTTGCGGAGCACCTCTCCCCCCTCCTGAGTCCCCAGACCTCATGGAGCTCAGTCCCTGGTCCCATGTTTCTGACCCCAGCCTCAAGCCTCGGGGCAGTATCTGTATCTTGACCCTCCCGTATCCTTGGGTCTTCACGTCAGCACGTCCCGTGCCTTTCTTTGTCTTGGGATCACACTCCCGCTCCCAGCTGGTCTCTCCTCTCCGTCTCTTTCTATGGCCTCTGACCCTCTCTGTCTCTCTCCTCACTTTACCCCTGACCTCCATCCTCCCCAGTGACTCTTCAGCGCCCCCGGGGTTTGGCCTGCATCCCACCACTCTACCAAAACTGCCCTTCTTAAGGTCACCCAGTCCCCTCTAGTGCACGTGTCATAGATTTGCCCAGAGCTCCCGGGCTTAGGTCTCCTCCCAGCTCTGGTCCTTGCAGACCTCTCCTTTTCCCACTCAGCTTCCATCCACTCTTTATCTCTCAATGTCCTCCCGCCTCTCCAGAGATTCCTTCTCAGCCTTTTTCCCGGCCCCTTCCTCTGCTTGTCTGCTGAATGCGAGGGCCGCCCAGGCCTCCGTTCTTGGTCCTCTTTTCAAGCTGCACAGCTCCTTCCCCGGGGATGCCTTCCACTCCCAGGGAGTGAGCCACCAACGACAGCTCCCAGGACGGATCACTGGTTTCTCTCCCCTTCTCCACAGCCAGTGTCTTGAATGCGAAGCTCTCCATCCTCACCTCCCTTTACTCCTCCACCACCGCCCTCCACTCTCCACCCCCAACCAGGGCACCATGACATCTCCACGGCATTTGGCCTTGGACCCCTCCCTCCTTCCTGGAGTGTCCTCTTCCCTTGGCTTCCATGATACAACATGCCTGTGAATATCCCCTACCTGTCTGGTGGCTCCTTCTTGGCCTCTCAGCTGGCCCTTCTTTTTCTGTCCTTCTCTTAAATGTCAAATTACTCTTCTTACCATCTATGCCCACTCTCCCAGCCATCTCATGGCCCTCCAAGCCTTTGATGACAGTTGCATATTAAGAACTCCATGTCTCAATCTCCAGCCAAAATATGTCTTGAGTTCCAGACCCACAGGTTCAGCTGCTGAATAGACACGTTCCCCTGGGCATCCCACGGGACCCACAAACCCAACACGTGCAAAACTTACGAACTCATCATTAACCCCACCCACATCTGCTCCTCCTCCTCCGGTCCCTCTCTCTTTCTTGATCAAAAGCCGACAGCTACCCCCTCACCCAAGCCCAACACCTGGGCGTTGTCCTCGACACACGCGTTCCCTGGGGCCCTCACTTCCACGTCCAGTCCATCACCTCATCTTCTTGATGCTACAGCCTGAATATCTTCCCTGTGTCTACTGCTTTCCATCCTCTTGGTTCAGCTCCTTCTCTTTGAACCCTGGAGTCCTCCTGCCTCCAGTTTCGCCCTCCCTGCAATCTGTTCTCCCCACTGCAGAGTGATCTTTCTAAAACGGAATCCTGGCCAGGTCTCCTGTTTTAAAACCCCCAAGGAGTTCTCATTGCCTTTAGGATAGTGTCCGCCCTCCTCTAGATGGATTCAAGGCCCCTCCTTCCCTGGCCCCTGCTTCCTTCTCCACTCATTCCACTGAAATTACTGAGCTCACTTCAGATCCGCCACGTGCCTCACTTTGTCTCGCGCGTCATTGATAGCACCGAAGGGAAACACACACGGAGATTTGTTGCTGGTTGAGTGGGAGGCAGGGAGCAGGCTTGTGAGAAGGCCTTTTGCAAATCTGTCCTTAAGAGAAGTGATAGGAAGGAATAAATGAGTACGAGAATGCAACAGTAGAGGCCTGCGAGGGGGGCACCTGGATGACTTTGGTTGTTGAAACAAAGGGAAGAACCTAGAGGGAGGATACATTCCAACAATAGGTTAAGTAGCAAACCCAATCCAATGGTACATTAAAGGATCATACACATGATCAGGTGGGATTCGTCCCAGGGATACAAGGATTTTTCAATATCCACAAATCAATCAATGTGATGGCTCCACAGTAATAAACTGAAGAATAAAAACTGTAGGATCGTCTCAATAGATGCAGAAAAAAACTTTTGATAAACTCCAACAGTGAATGAAGCAAAAACCTCGGGTAATAGACTAGTTAATCTCTTTGAAGTGGAAGTGGCACCTGGACTCTACAGTGGCTTCTTAATTTGTGATACAGCTGAGCGAAGGCCCGAAGTAGGAAATTAATCACCCAGGCACCATCCAAATTAAGAATTAAACATTATCAACAGTGAAATAAAAATCCTCCAGGGACCTCCCTTATACCATCAACATAACATTTGGAGTCTTTATTTTGCTTACAATTACCATTTTAAAATTCAGTGATTAATTAAATGGTAATATTGACTCTATATAAATAAATCCTCTATTTAAAAAAAAGTCAGTCTGGCCATCCTTTCAGTTTCCATGTCACCCTGTATTGTCCTACCCCTGGCCTTCATAAGCTTTGTTCCCTCTGCCTGAGACACATACTGGCTGTGAAGCCTTTGTTCAAGAAATTCAACCTCTCCATTTCCTCATTTGTAAAAAAGAGGGCTAAAAATAAATCAGTAGCACCTGCTTCATGGGTGGTAAGGATTAAATGAGTTAATACTTGAAAAGCACGAGAGCAGTGCCCGCCACAGAATAAGTGACAGTAACAAGCTGCCGTGATTGTGACTATGACGTTGTCGCTTTTGTCGTTGTCGTTTGTTATTCCCCTCGTCTCTTCTGCTCGCCTTTGTCTTACTCGTTCTCCTGTCCTGAAATCAGGGATCCTTCCTGGAGCAGGTGCTCCTCTCCGTAGCCCTGCAGAGTGGGCATCTTCATCTCCCGTTTCTGGTGGTGGGGAGGGAGACCCACAAGATGCATGTTGCGCCCAGGGTCCCAGGCTGGCTGTTCGGCTCCAGGTCCAGCCGACTCTGAAGCCTGAGCTCTGGGTCCTCTCTGCTGCACACTCTCCTGTCTTCTCTATTCTGATTCCCTCAGCTCTCTGCCTCCAGCTTGTCTCTGCAGCGCCCTGCTGCCTGGTCCCTCTTTAGTGACTGGTCCCACCCCTCCCCTACGCCAGAACCCTGGGAAGCCGCCCAGGCTCCTCCGCCTCAGATTGGTCACAATGGCCGTACTGATTGCGTTCCTTAAGCATCTTTCAAATCGTTTTCTTTCTATCACCACTGAACAGAACTTGGTTTAGGACTTTCTCACCTGGATAATCAGGTCAGCTGAACGTCCCAAATGGTCCTTCAGTCTTTGTCTCTCCCCAGGCTGCAGAGGAACCTTTCCAACATATGAATCAGATCAGGTCTTGCTCCTGATTAAACTGGCCAATGACTCCCTGTTTTCTAATCAGCTCTGAGAAAGGTCTCCCCCAAACCCTGCAAAACCAGAATGTCTGGTAAATGCAGCTCACTCTGTCCCCATCTTAGGGAGTCACTCTAAGTCCCAGGAGCATAACGGAGACTGCAAAAAGCCCCGCAGGAAAGAATCCTGGTTTAGACTTGTTGGACCTGGTAGTTGTCAGTCTTACCTGATATAGTGGCCTTTTCTCCACATCCTCCTATGAACATTTAGGGGAATCATGTTCCAAGGAATACTCTTTGGGAAACGCTGCCTGGCAGGATCACGTTCAAATTCATTGGCATGACATTAAAGGCCTTTCAAGATAGGACACTTTATCTTTCACGGCTCCCCTACCCCACCTCTCCCGTACCCCAAATTACCCGCAATTCCTTCAACATTTTATACCTCTTTCTTCTAGAGGGCCTTTGTCTCTACTTCCTAATGGACACATCTCTACTCTTTCTTCAAGAGCTGGCCCAAACGGCACCTCCCCTGTGACGCCTCCCCTCCCTTCTTGCTGGTTCCTGTATTGCTTGGCCTCGCGGCTGCCAGCTTGTGCATGTTTACAGGTCTGTCTGCACCACTGAGAGGTCAGTTCGCAGTGGCCAGGCATCTTTGCCTCCCCGTCCCTAGCACTCACACTGCATGTGGTACCTGGGAGGGGCCGAGTGAGTGTTGGTTGAACAAGCGAAGGAGGAAACGAGATTAAAGGTCTGCGACGCGAGGCTGGGGCTGGAGACCACACTGGCTCAAAGGATGGTTCCAACCCCCACGCCTGTGACATCTTAGACCAGATCATTGTGGTGGGAGCTGCCCCTACGCATTGTAGGAGGTTTAGCGGCATCGCTGGCCTCTAACCCCCAGATGCCACTGAAAAGCCCCTACTCTCGTGTGACAATTGAAATGTCTCTAGACTTTGCCGAATGTCCCTTGGGGAGCAGACTCATCTCTGGTTGGGACCACTGTTCTAGACATAGGTTGTCCCGGTTGTCTTCTGTCTCTGGGCAGGTGGCTGTTCCTCGGTTTGTTTAACCCATTATCCTTCTTGTCCTTGAAGCGTTCTCAAGGACTAAAAGCCCTCCTCCTATACCTGAGCCTGAGCTTTCCTTCCTCCGGGGAGGTGCAGGTGTAAATTCCAGGAAGGGTGCAGCATCAGTGGCCTCTCTGGGGATGATGGAGCCAGCCTGGAGGATGAGCTTGTGCGGTGCCCGGAGCTGAGCAGGAATTTAGGGTGGATGGCAGCGCTTGCTGTGCTGTTTCCCTTGAAAGCGGATACTGGGGAGGTTCATAAAGCAGCCTTGCCAAGAGTTGCCTGCCTGGTCTGTGCTTTCTGAGAAGCACATTCATTCTGTAGGCTGAAACTCCGGTCTACTCACTTGTGATCCTCGTGGGGGCCTGGGAAGGACAGGGGTCTCTCCTCTGGCTGCCTCTCACCCTCGCTCCATCCTTCCAGTCAGCACCGAGGGGAGCCAAGCCTGTGCCAAAGGCTGTGAGCTCTGTTCGGAGGTCAACGGCTGTCTTAAGTGCTCGCCCAAGCTGTTCATCCTGCTGGAGAGGAACGACATCCGCCAGGTGGGCGTCTGCTTGCCGTCCTGCCCACCTGGATACTTCGATGCCCGCAACCCCGACATGAACAAGTGCATCAGTGAGTGTGGGCAGGGCTGGAGAGGGGTGCCGGAGGCTATGGACTCAGGGGGAGGGGGCTTTGAACTGCTGACAGCCTGCAAGAGGAGTAGAGGGGACAGAGAGGCGGGGAGTCCCTGATTCACATATCCAGCTGCCGGGCAACCCCAGACAGCCCACCCACATTTCAAACCTCTATCATCACTTCATCTCCTGCCTCCAGACCTGTACCCACCTGTATTCTCACAAGTCACTCTTATTAGTGTCCCAACCCACCACCCATTCACAGACTTGAGAGCCAACCTCTCATTCATGCCCCACCCACCATCCATCCGATAACCAAACTGTGCCTCATACATCTCCTTTCTATCCTCATTGCCTTTGTCTTATCCAGGCTCCCATCACCTCTCTCCTGGACCATTGCAATAGTCTCATTTGTCCCCCGACCCTCATTTGGTTCCCATCAACCCTCCCTCGTCACTGCAGCCAGAAGGATGCTTCTGAGAAACACAGTCTATCCAGTCACACTTCTTAAAAGTCATAGCTGGCTCCACTGACTGCAGGGAAACTCAAGCCCCAGCCAGCCTTCTCTCTGCACCCTTCTCCCTCCACCTCCCGACTCTGCTCCGTGCTCTCACACCAACTATAGTCCCACGTGCTCCAAGCACATGCTGTCACACCTCCATCCCAGGTCAGCTATGGCATGCGCACTGAACATGCTTCCGTCAACACTTCCAAAGCCCCTCCCAGTCTGTTCAGCGCCTTGGGGTTTAGAATGCATTTCCAGACCTCCTCTTGGTTGAGCCTCACAACTACCTTTGGAGGGAGACAGACCTAAGTGAGGGGACTCTTTCTATAGTTGGTAACATCGAAGCCTCAGGGGAAATGACTGACCCAAGATCTGCCGGCTTGGGTTCTAATCCCAACTCTGCTGTTTATTCATTGAATGACCTTGGGCACGTCACAGCCTCTCAAAATCTCATCATCAGAATGCAGGTGCTCGCTTGTACCCCGGGGGCTGTTGTAAGAGGCAGACGTAAGCCCTCTGTCTGGCACACAATAAATGTAGCTGCCATTATTCTCATTTTTGTTTGTATTTTGCCTGCCACCAGACTCAAGAATCAGAAGCCCGGAGGCACAGAGGAGGGTGGGTAAGGGTGGGGAACTTGTGATGATGGAGGTAGGACCCTGGGGCTGCCTCTTGGTCCTCAGGCATTTGGGGTAGGGAGCTCCCAGCTGTGCCAGCTCCTGGGAAACTAGCACCCAGTCTTCAGGGGCAGAGATGGGGAAGAGGTCAGCTCCACCCATGATCTGGGAGGGGAGAGATTGTGAAAGACCCCAGCCGCTTCCAGCCTAGCCTGGCAACCCACCCTCCCCCCACCTCCCCAGAGGAGGGAGAGCTGGCAGGAGGACATCAGGGAGGGACCCAGGAGTCCAACCAAGGTGGTTCCTGGAACTTGGCCTTGCAGAGGCAGAGGAATTTGCCCTGGGATTGCTCCCCTCTCCTCCAGGCAGATTCTTGCTGGCCCGGGCAGGAGGAGGAACAGGATTTGGGGTGTTGTGGATGCCTAGCAGTTGGGGAGACCACATAGCCACTCTTGGAGGTTATTGTATCCCCCAGTTTAGCTCTGATTAGGTGGCCCTCTGGTGTGCCAGGAGATGCTGGCACCCTCCTCTCCTCTGAAACTGGCTCTCCTGGTCCTCCGCTTGGGTTCCAGGGCCTGGGATTGGGTTGGGGTTAGGGTTGGCTGACTGTGGCCAGAGTCCCAGCCTGCCCTGGAAAGAGGCTGCTTTGGCTTCCTCTCCCCCACCCCCTTGCATCCCAAGACTCCTCTGCGGTAATCACAGCTCCAGGGTGCGGTCCTACCCCTGTGCAGGATGCGTGGGCACCGGGCATGGGGATGAGGGGAGGTGTCCATCCAAGGCTGAAGCAGAGGCCCCCAATCTGGCCTTCTCCTCAGAATGCAAGATTGAGCACTGCGAGGCCTGCTTCAGCCACAACTTCTGCACCAAGTGCAAGGAGAACTTGTATCTGCACAAGGGCCGCTGCTATCCCGCCTGTCCCGAGGGCTCGGTGGCCGCCAACGGCACCATGGAGTGCAGCAGCCCTGGTAAGGTGGTAAGGCGTGGCGGGCGCTGCAGCCGAGGGTCCAGGACCCTGGAGAGGGGGCGGGCCGGGTGGCTCTGGCCAGGGAAAGCGTGGGCCAGGCACTGTGCAGAGAAAGCTCACCCACGGCCACCATCTGAGGTTTCTCCCGGGACTTTTCTGCCCTCTGGACTACAGATGCCTCTGGCCTGGGGCTGAGGCAGAGAGCAAGTGGGAGAGGCTCCCCTGGGGTACCCGGGGCCAGATGAGGAGATGTGACCCCTTCCTTCTCTTGCCTCTCTCCGTCCTCCCTCCTCTCCTGCCAGCACAATGTGAAATGAGCGAGTGGTCTCTGTGGGGGCCGTGCTCCAAGAAGAAGAAGCTCTGTGGCTTCCGGAGGGGCTTGGAGGAGCGGACACGGAGGGTGCTCCAGGCCCCTGGCGGGGACCACACCATCTGCTCCGACACCAAGGAGACCCGGAGGTGCACTGTGCGGAGGACACCCTGCTCGGAGGGTGAGCTATAGCCTCCACCTCCCTGGGATCGGGGGTCAGCACAGCCATGGCAGGTCTGAACACCTCTGCTTCCTGTCTATGGCCCAGGAGACGGCCTCAGGCCAGGGCCAGATGGGGAGTCCCCAGCTCAGGTCCCCCATGCTGTGCAACCCGGTGCCAGACAGAGAGCAGCCCCCGCAGCAGCTCTGTATGGTGGGACCAAAAGCTTCTGTGGTTATCTCTTCAGTTCCCCCATTTATTCTGAGCCAGGGGATGTTGGCACTGGAAGGGACCTCAGAGGTCAGACAGAGGCATGGAAGGGGATGCTAAGACCCAGAGAGATGCAGTGATTTGGCCAAGGTCACACAGCATGCAGTCGGCAGTGATGCAGCAGTGGTGTGTGGTGGAGGAGTTGAGGGCCATCCTGTCTGTTGGGAGAGCTATAGTGATGACCTGGGAGATGCTCTCAGCCCCTTGGGATCCAAGGTCTGAGGAAGACACAAGGAAGTGGGGGAGGTCTGGTTCATTGAGGGGTGGAAGGTACAGAGGCTCCTGGGACCCCATCTTGGTACCCATGTTGCAGTGGCTGCTGGTCAGAAGAGGCCTTGAGGGGGCCCCTGCTGCCTAAGGGCAGCATCTCCAGGCCTCCTCCCGCCTCCCCCTGCCCAGGTTCCTCACCACGCTCCTCCTTGGGCCCTTGGTCATGCCCAGGGCCTCCCTGCTGTCAGGACACCCTTTGTTGACTCTTCCTGCTGTTGGGGTTACAGGGCAGAAGAGGAGGAAGGGCGGCCAGGGCCGGCGGGAGAATGCCAACAGGAACCCGGGCCGGAAGGAGAGCAAGGAGGTGGGCGCTGGCGCTCGGAGACGCAAGGGCCAACAACAGCAGCAGCAAGGGACAGTGGGGCCGGTCACCTCTGCGGGGACAACCTAGGGACACTGTTCAGCCTCCGGGCCCATGCAGCAAGAGTCCAGCACCGCTCTGTGTGATGAGAGCTTTACTGAACTTGAGCACTGGAGGCAGCGCGTCCACACACTCTCCATACATACAGGAACACACAGATACATGCACACAGACCCTGTGTCCAAATATGTAACCGACATACATACAAATATGTGTGTGTATGTATGTGCGCATGTGTGCACACACAGACACACGCACACACACACACACACACACAATAGAGGCTACTGGAAGATCCTTCTAGCCCTCAGACAACACTGTGTGAGCAGGGTGGGGAGGTGGAGGGGTCATCGCTGCCCAGCAGAGGGCCCAGAGGCATATGCTTGGTTTGTGATGCTCTCAGCGGACGGACGCCTCAGAGACAACATTTTCCAGCATCCAAGCCCAAACTTGGCAGAGTGGAGCCTTCTGGAGGAGCTGATAGGACCAGCCTGGTGTGGCAGACAGGAGCCAAAGCTTTAGACTGTTCCGCATCTCCAGCTGTGTGACTTTATCCTTGGAGAGTTTTGTTACACATCCATGATCCGTATAAGGGCTGCCCTGACTCTGAAAACTGCTTAAAGGTTTATTTCAAATTAAAAACAAAAACCAAATGCCAACAGAAGCCACAGGTACCACGTTCCTTTTCAGGGTATGGGGGTTGGTAGAGTACGCATGGGAGCAGAAAGGGACAGGGCTGAATCTCAAGAGACCCCTCCTGGCCTCCTCGACAGAGGCTCCAGAGCAGGAAGAAAACTTTGAGGCTGTTTAAGGTGATAACCAGCTTCTCTACATCTTTGTTACTCAGAATGTGGTCTGTGGACCAGCCTCGACATTATCATCAGGTATCTTGTTAGAAATGAGAACCTCAGGTCCCATCCCAGACCTGATGAACCGGAGTCTGCATTTTAACAAAGTTCCAGGTAACTGGCGTGTTCATTCAAGTTTGAGACGCATTCCTTTAATTGCCTCTAAGGATGGAACAAAGATCTCGGCCAGCTTGCAGCAGGAGGGATTGTAGTCAGCTATACAGGGAGACTTTCCATCTGAGAGAAGCAGACTCTAAACTGAAGGGCTACCGTGGCGCTTCTAGGGGGAGGCCATGCTCAGGCCCTCTGAGACGGTTGGTGAAAGTTGGACCTGAAGGCAGAACAGTGGATGCAGTCACCTCTTGTGGCATTCTGAAGTGTCCACTGGCAGCCATCCGTGCACCAAGCTCTGGACTCACATTTAAAAGGGTAAAAAGAAGAAACAGATGAAGTTAATTTTAAATGTATCTTCTATTTAACCAAATAAATGCAATGTTGGGTTTCCAGAGCTGAGCCAGACAGGAGCCTTGCTCTCATGGAGCTTAGAGGTTGGTGGGGGGACAGGGGTGAATTAAGTAATCCTTCGAATAAATGTATGATTACAAATGGGTGGAGTTAAAGGCAGGCAACCACTGAAACACACACATAGCTCTGAAAGTAAATAAAACCAAATAAAAGATTCTATCTCTGAGAAGCTTTTCAGAGGAGGTGGTATTCAAGTTAAGATCTAAAGGATGAATAGAAGGAGTTAACACAAAGAGGAGGAATGAAGTTCTAAACCAGTGCTGGCCAATAGAAATACAGTATGAGCCACTAATCTTATTTAAAATTTTCTTAGAGGGAGGATACAGCTCAGTGATAGAGTGCCTGTTTAGCATGCATGAGGTCCTAGGCTCAATCCTCAGTACCCCCATTAAAATTAGTTAATTAATTAATAACCTAATTACCTCCTCTGCCAAAAAAATTTTTAAATAAAAACAAAAAATTTTTTTTCTAGTAGCCACATTTGAATAGTAAAAACGCACAGATGAAGTTAATTTTAATTATGTCTTTTATTTAACCAAATATAAGCAAAATATTATCTATTAACATAATCAATATAAAAATTATTAATGAGATCTTTTATATTCTTTTTTAAACTGTCTTCAACATTTGGTGTGTATATTTACACTTACAGCATATCTTAATTCAGACACTAAATTTTCACCAGAAATACTTGATCAGTATTTAGATTTAATAAAAATTCAAAAGTAGATTCAAAAATTGAAAAATAGATTCACACACCCAAGCTGTTTAAAGAGTAGTTAAGTTTTCTGATAACTGAATTGAACTGTTTCAAGTTTTTGATTTAATTCATTGAAATTAAATAGCATTAACATTTCGGTTCTTCAGTTGTACTAGCCATGTGTCAAGTGCTCACTAGCCATACATGACTAGTGGCTACTGTATTGGACAGCATAATCCTACATAGAGGACGAAGCACATGCAAGTGTCCTGTGGCAGAAAAGAGCTTGGTGTTCAATGAAATGAAAGAAGGCCAGTAGAGCTGGAAGGCCTGGAGAGCGAGGGAGGTGAGATGATCCCAGAAAAGTCGCTTAGAGTTAGGTCTTTATTCTCAGAGCCAAGGGAGGCTGAAGAGTTTTAGGCAGCAGGCCAACATGATCAGATTTGCAAAATCTGTTGGCTGTAGTATAGAAAGCAGATGGTCGGGAAACTGCTCAGGAGGCTGTTGCTGTCATCCAGGTGAGAAATGTTGAAGACTTGGATGAGGATGGTGACAGTGGAAATGGAGAGAAGAAGACAAAGCCAAAGGAATTTGGAGGATAAAGTTGAAAGAGTTTGGTGATAAAGTAGATGTGGATGAGGGGAGAAAGGGAGAGGAAGGTGTCAAGGACAAAGTCCTCATTTTTGGTTCAAAAACCCAGACCAATGATGATGCTGTGTTCTGGGATGGAGAGCCCATGAGGAAGACCAGTTTGGGAGGAGGAGAAAGAACAAAACTTTGGTTTTGACCATGTTGAGTTTGAGATGCCTGTGAGACATCTAGGTAAGGATGGTGGGTAGATATTGTGATAACACAAAGATAGATCTAGAGTACACAGGGGACCTCTGAACTGGAATGTCAACTGGTGTCAAGAAGACCATTGAGGCTGCAGGTTTGGAAAAGCCCTGGGTGAAGAGGGGGCTCAGACCCAGCTGTGCAGCCCTCCGAGGATAAAGATCAGATATCCTTGGATATCTCAAAGAAAGAGCAGGCAAGAGAAAAACCAGGAGGGCATCACGTCCCAGAAGCCAGCAAGCAGGAGGGGAGATCATGAGGACCAAAGGCTGCTAAGAGACAAGTGAAAGCGAAGCCTGGAAACTGACCATTGGACTTACAGTGTGTGTGCCAGTGGCAGCCTCTGCAAGAGCTGTTTGGAGAGGGTAATGGAGGCAGAATTCAGTACAAATTCTTTCGGGAAGTTTCCCTGAGAAACAGAAAAATAGGACGGGGCTAGAAAGAGATTTGGGGTCAAGAGAGAGTTTTTTCCCTTTTTTGTTTTTTGTTTTGTTTTGTGTTTTAGGTGGGGAAGACTTGAAAATGTTTAAAACCTGCTGGGAAGGGGTCCAGTTAAGAAGAGGTTGAACACACAGGAGCCGGAAGAGGAACACTAGTAGTGGGAAGCTCTGTGGGAGGGACAGCTCTACAGGGGAAGGAGAGAGTGCTGCTGGTGTGAGAAGCCTGGGAGGTTTGGAAGGTGGGGGAGCTCAGGTCTGTGCATCTGACACACTGTAGGGCTCAACCCACCCGTAGCTCTGAGACCCTACGCTGCCAGTCAGGATCCTGTGTGGTCCACAGGCTGCCCACGGCTGCTCCGGCCTCTCCCCAAACTCCTTACTTTGCCTTCTCTATCTCTCTTTGTATTTTTTTTTATTTTTATTTTTGCCTTCTCTCTCTGATCCTGGCTCTGTTCTTTGCTGGTCTCTCTGGCCCCATCCTTCGACCATCTCTGATTTGGTCTCTCCACATTTGCCCCTCCCTGTTTCTCTAACTCTTCCTTCTCTGTCCCCCCCCCCTTTTTTTTTAGAGTTTTATTTATTTATTTTATTTATTTTTTTTTGCAGGAGGAGGTAATTAGGTTTATTTATTTTTTTACTTTTTCAGTGGAGGTATTGGGGATTGAACCTAGGACCTAGTGCATGCTAAGCAGGCACTCTACCATTTGAGCTATACCCTCCCCTCTTCTCTGTCCCTCTTTTTGTCACCATGTCTTTCTCTGTTCCCACCTCCTCAGCCTCTGACCCCATGTGTGTGCACCATTGTTTCTCTGCTTTTCTGTCTCTGTCTGGATATCGGTCCTCAGTCCCTGCATGTCTTGGCCGTCTCTGGCTCTGATTTGTCCCCATCTCCCAGAACCTCAGGTCCTCGCTGCTAAAAGCATGGCTCCGGATCAGCAACCTCAGCCTCATCTGGGAGCTCATTAAAAATGCAGATTCTCAGGCCCCTCTCAGACCTAGAAATCTGAATCTGCCTTGTAACAGATTCCCCAGGTAATTCACACACAAGTGAAACATTTCAGAACACGGAAACAAAACCCCAGAATCTTAGAATCAAAGAATAAGCTGGATCCTCCGATATCTCCTGCATCACCTGGGTGATGCTGAGGCATTCGGCTTCTCTGCATCCCTCCTAAAGCTGCTCCTGATGCTCTAGGCAGCTAAGGGAGGGAACTAAATAGGGACTTCAGGAGGTCCTGAGTGTTTATATCTGCCGAATTACCGGTAGGAGGGAATTCTCCTGATACTGATACACTGTGCGTCCAGGTGCAATCCCAGTGCATCCTTGCAAATGGCCACACCTGAACCTACCCCTGTCTGTGTCACTCCATCCTTTCAAGACTAACGATGTTTTTGTTTTTGTTTTTTTGAGCTGGCGATAGAGTGCGTGTTTTAAGTTGGGGAGCAGTTACCCGCTCGCAGCCTTAGAAGCAGCCCACCTGAGGCCGGAGACCACAAGGATTGATGAGATGTCACACTTTGTGATTCTCCAAGTGAGGGGGTGCTAGAGAGAGGAGTCATGCCAAGATTCCTAATCCTACTCCCAGGTTTAAGCAACAACAGCCCACGATGTGTCTGCGCCTGCTAACTGGCCTCTGTGTCATTTGGAAAATGGTAACTTTTCCTCTACAGGGTAGCAGACTTGCTCAGACTAACACATTTCTGGCCCCTTGACCCAGTGCCAGCTTGGGTATGTTTCAGACCAGTCCTCTAGAGAATGCATTTGTTTTCCATGTCAAGATTTCGGGTGATGGGATTGTGTTTTCCGAGTTTGTTTTTTTAAGTGGAGTTTTCTCCCTTCTCTGGTTTGTTTGGTTTGGTTTGGTTTAGAAGAACTGAGAGAGAATTTAGGAAAAGGGTCACCTTCCTGGGCCCTGATGCAAGTCCCTGACACAGGGCCAGGAATCCAGGTGCTGGCTTTTTTTTTTCCCCCCTGACTCCTCCAGCTGTGGTCCAGACTGGATTGAAGCAGACAACAGGTGGCAACCCTGGTGAGAGGTGGTACGGAAGGAGAAAAACAACCAGAGAGAACAGGTTCCATTTGGAAGGATTAAAAGGATTCATTGCAAAGGGGCTGGAGTAGTGCCTGGCTAGTAAAAATGATGTGGAACAAAAGCCTAGTTATAGGGGAGCAAGGAGATCGGAAGATTAGATGCCGCAGGGGTTGCTGAGACCCAGCATACCAGAGTTGGGTGCACCTGCTTTGGTGTGGTGTACCTCTTTGCTCTCCCGAGGGAAAGAGCCGACCCAGGGTGAAGAATAAACAGGTTTTTGTCTGGAGCCTTGCTTGGCTTCAGCATCAAATAGACCCTGGGTCAGCCGCCCCGATGGGAATGGTGGGAGAGCAGCTAAGTGTGGGCCTCAACCTTTCTCCCTCCCCTCCCCTCCCCTCCAAGGCTGCTGGTGAGAAGAGACCCAGGCCAGTGGCTGGAGAAGGTGGCTTGGGTCCTAGCCTCGAGCCTTCCAGAGCTTAAGTAGGAAATTGCGAAACAGGGCTACATTTTGAAAGAGAAAGTATGTGAAATATGGTTCCTCCCTCGCCTGTTCGCTCTCCCAGAGCTTGGTGCGGGGTGGTGGGTGAGTTGGATTTCTGGCTGGACTTAGTCCTGTGTGGGAAAAAGGGCAGAGCCAACCCCCCTGGGGCCCCTCAGGCCAGGCCACAGCAGCTGCCAGCCTTTGGTTATTGATTATTGTTATTGGGATAGAGTTTTTCCATCTGTGGAGCATCAGCCTGGCCCATGGAGAAGGCCGGCTCCTTCCTCTGGCTGAATTTCATCTCTCCTGAAAGGGGCTGGCTTCTGAGGGCTCCCTCTGCAACCCAATATGTACCATGGGCTGCTGATTAAATACTTGGAATGTCTTCAGGTTGAGCCAGGCCTGTCCATAAAATGGGAGGCATTTTGGCAGGTCCAAGGCCCCTGGCACCCAGTCTTGGCACTGACCCTGCTGTCTTCTTCTAGGAGCTGGGGTGGGCCTCCCGCCAGCCTGCTTCCCTGGGAAACATCGAAGTGAGTTAAAGTCAACAATGAGTTCATCTCCAAAAGGAATAAGCCGGCAGCCTTCAGGGCAGGGGAACAGGAGGAGGGGGAACAGGGATTTGAGGCAGGGGAGGGGGTTAAGTGATGCTGGAATAGCCAGACCAGATCCAAGGCTGTCAAACAAGCTGGCAGCTCAAGGAACAAAGCGAAATGCTTTCCCAGGCCAGCCCTGGATGGCTCACTTGGCAATGGTGGTGACAGTGAGGGTGTCACAATCCCAGGGGCCAGGAGAAATGTCCTCTCAAGGATTGGGAGCTGGAGCAACACATGGACGTGAAAAGAGGCTGGGGCAGTTGAGTTGGTGAATTCATGAGCACCGAATCCACTGGCCCCAGGACTGCCTGATGGGCATGTGCAGAGGGCCACGTGCGCAGTTAAAGTCCATGGTCTCATCTTGGAGGATTCAAACAGGGAGGCCTCAGATGTCAAGGCCATGTGAAGAGCAGGCTCGTGATGGCAGAACCTAGCATTTTAATTGCGACAGTTCATTCATTAGATTCATCTTGGAGGGCTTTACATTTGCGTAATGGTTCCTAATTTGAGCCCGTGACTCGCTTCTGCGTGATTCACCACCTGGGGCATGAGCAAGCCACATCCTGAAGGGCATTAGACTGCTCTCTACTCACTTGCTCTGATGCACCACAGGGCTGGGGCGCCAAAGCAGAGCAAAGTCCAAAGTGAGCCACATTCAGGACTGGCCTAAAGCTGGAGCCATCTCTCTTTGGCCACTGAGTGGAACCCTGGCCTCTCTGGCCATCTTTCAAGGGCTGGGCTCTAAGCAGAAGGAGGAGAGCAGTGCCTCCCCGCTTTGGACGGAAAAGCCCAATGATGGCCCATCACCTGCTCACACCAGTTGAGAGACACAGAAAACCCATCTGGTTCAGACTTCGGATCTGCCCCCAGGGCTGGGATAGTGGCAACAACTGCCTTGAATATATACTTGGCTTTTCTCCCAAGGGCAGGACCATCACTGAGGACTGTGCTTGGTTTCTCTCATGCCCTCCCATTCATTCTCACAAGGTATTTTTTTGTGCGAGGTATTTGCCAACCATGCATATTTACAATTCTTTTCCTGCCACCAAATCAACAAAATGTCCACAGACATTGCATCTCAATTTCTCACCAATACATTCTCTTTGCATTCCCCTGGTTTCCCCACCTCCCATTTCCCTCTTTTTTCTAAAGACCAGCTTTGACATTTCTGCTCTCTCCAGAGCTTTTCCAGCCCCCTCCCACAGCCCTCCTGCATCTTTTTCCTTTCAATGCACAGCCACAGGCCCTTCACAACCATGGCTCGCTCAGCTCCTCTGCCCCCTGTAATTTCCACCAATTGCATTTGTCTTTTGTTATCATGGGCCGGATGTTTGTTGAATGAATGAAAAAAAGCAAATGAATGAAAAGGTCTCGCTTGAACGTGTTTATTTTCATATTATTCCTGGAGATCATAGTTCTGGATCACGCCTGCTCCTTTCTCCTCCTGGGAGGACAAATAAGGCCAGCAGCCAAGTTCATTAGGGCCTGAACCAAAGGCAACCTGACCTTGATATTTTTGTCATCAGGCCACAGCTGGTTGTGACCACCGAGCTTTCCAGAGTCATGGCCCACCGCTCACATCCTGCATCCCATCTCCTCTTCTACCCAGAACTACTCAATGGTGCCCAGTTCAAATGAACTTTCAAATGTCAGTGCCTTTGTCCATGCTGTTCCCTCCCCCTAGAATGTGCTTCCCCACACTCTCATCTGGGGATCTATATATATTTCATGCCCACACTGAATTAGTATGTGAAGGTGCTTGTGCTACTGGCCCCTCCGTCTGTGTTTCTATGGACTGTCTATACACCTTTTTCATATCTAAATGTATGTCTCCAGCCGAATGTTAGCTCCTGAGAGCAAGGACTATGGGATTCCTTCTTCTTCTAACTTTTTTTTTAATTTTTAAAAAATATAGTCACTTACAATGTGTCTATTTCCAATGTACAGCATCATGTTTCAGTCATACATATACATACATATGATTGTTTTCATATTCTCGGGATTCCTTCTTGTACTTCCTGTCCTTCCTCAAGTCTCACAGTGCTGTGGGTGCAGTTGGAGACATACTTATAATAACAATGGCCAACATTTATATAGTGTTTACTCTCTTCTAAGCCCTTTATTTGCACTGCCTCACTCCATCCTCCCCACAGCCCTATGAGGTGAGTACCTTTGTTATGCCCATTTGACAGATGAGGAAACTGAGGCAAGAAGAGGTGAAGGGATGTGAGCAGGGATGCACAGCTAATAAATAGTGGAGCCAGGATTTGAACTCAGGGAGTCTGGCTGTGCTACCACCTAGCTGTGTGAAAATTCACATTTTGCACGTCCTTTTCCCCACCTGTGTACCATGATACCCAGCCCATTCAGGTCTCACTCCTTTATCAGGAAGAGGAGGGGGAGCCAGAGGATGGACCACATGTGCTCATCATTAACGCCATAGGGTCCTCCCGGGCATCTACCAGACCCTGCCTCTCCCCTCCAGACCCTCATCAGTGCCCACTGCTATGAAGCTGCTCAAGACCACTTTGCCACCGGGTGACTGCCAGCACGTGAACCAGCCTTGGGCCCTGGGGGGCTGCCTTGGGACACTCCCGGAGCTGCCCACCCTGGGCGCAGACCTTGAAGACCCAGATGCACCTAAATCTCGCTGGGTGAAGTAGAGAGCCTCTCTCCCCTACATGTGTGGTGCTTTGTCTCAAGATCACCAAAGCCGGTCTCACAAAGACTCTGGACAAAGGGGCTTTTGGATTTCTGCCTGAAGCCCCCTTCTCCTTTGAGCTCAGAAAAAAAAACTCCTAGGGCTGAAAGACACTGACAGGCCAGTGTCGCTCTTCCCGAACCCCCTTTTCTCTTCCACATGGGCTCCTTCTGCCCCCTTCCCCATGATATGTAAACCTCCTCAGAGAGCCCCCTGCTGGCCCACTAAAGCATCAGCTACACTCCGATGTATAGGGAACCCCCTCATCTTCCCCAGGGCAGAAAAAAAAGGAACTGCACCTCCATGCTGGGACAGGGAAATTTCACTCTTAGAGGTCACTCTCAGAGGGCAATGGTGACTGACAGTCAGCTCTGGTCACTTACACCCCTTTTCAATGAGCAAAACTCCCACCAGAGCCCCAGGAAGGGGTCATCGACAAGCTTTTTTTCCTGTAAAGGGTCATGTAGTAAATATTTTAGGCTTTGCAGGGCAGCTGTTCATCTCTGACTTTGTAGTGCAATAGCAGTTGTAGACCAAACAGGGTGGCTGTGTTCCAATAAAACTTTATTTATGAACTCTGAAATTTGCATTTCTTATCAGCTTCATGTGTCACAACAAAGTATCCTTATTTTTTTTTCAACTATTTAAAAATGTGAAGACCATTCTTAGCTCATGAGCCCTGTAAAAATAGGTGGCTGGTGGGATTTGGCCGGAGGGCTGAAGTTTGCTTACCCCTGCCCTCGGAGATAAGCTACTTGGTTTATGCCTGGTACCCTGATGAGGTAAGGGTGGTGGCGGGGTAACACAGCAGAAACCTGAGTCCCCAGGTCCTGAGCACAGTGGCCAAACATCCTAGGGATATGCCCAAATCTGGCTGGAAGCAAAACTGACATCTCTAAAGTCTCCCAAATAGACATTTAAAGCATCTGGAAGATTCTTCCGACCTAGTTACAGAGTGAGTTGGAAGGATTGTTTTTTTTTCTGAGATACAAGAGTTGGCTGACTTACCTTTTTCTAATCAAGGCTCTAAAAGTCACATAAATCAAGGTTTTGACCACTTCTTCCTCTGCTGCCTGAGAAGGTATTCGTCCTAACTTTCTTCCATACCTCAGCCTGAGTCTCTCCTTCGGAAGTAAGATTGTGTTCCCAGTCTAGACTAGACCAGACAAAGGAGCAAGAGGGATACAGAAGGCCAAGGAAAAGCTCAGTGTCTTGCCGGGCAGAAGCTGCCCCTGGGGCAAGGCTGCCCTTCTGACAGGCAGAGGTCGCCCTGACACGCTGGTGTCAGGAGTTGACTTCAGATTTTTTATTCTTCTGGAAACAATCTAAGGTACCTGGTTAACATTTTGAAAAAGTGTTTTCTTAAGGAAAAGGGGGGAGGTGGGCAAGAGAGGAGGGGGGAAAGAATTATACAAAGATTTAGTCTAACGGCTTAAAAATCAGAAGGATCATTGGACAGATAGACATCGAGTGTAATAGGAAACACACTGATCCTGGGGAGATGACTTAATATGGGCCCTCCAGCCTCCTTGGAGCTAAAACAATTATCTACGATTTGGAATGAGACTTCATATTCCCACATCACTGTGTGCTCTGGATCCACCTCTCAAGACACAGCCAGCAGTCCTGCGTTATCTTAACCAGGCTGAAAATTAGAGGCTGTTAATAGCATCTCATAAAATTGCTTCTCAGATTTTCTTAAGCAGAATATGCCGAGGACTACAGGGATTCAGTGATAGGAGGGAGCAACATGCTGCTAGTTATTTTTCCAAAGCTTAATCTAGGGATCTTTTTGAAGAGCTCCTTCTCCAGCAATGAGACGAATGCCAAGACCAATATAGACTACGTTTTTCCCACTTAGAAGTGGTGACCAGATCCATTAGCCATGAAGTTTCTTGGGGTTCCCAGGGGTGAGTCTCTCAGCCACATTTCACAGCCCCCCAGCCCACTGGCTTGTTATACGCTCATCTAAAACTTCCCTGGCATCCTAGACTGAGAACTGGAAGTTTGGTCCACAAAGCTGCAATTCAATGCACCTTTCTTTTCTTATATTCCCTTGTACACTGTTGAGGTTGTCTAAACCAGGACTCTTCCTTCTGGTTTGCTATGAATGCAACAAAAATAATAAAATCCTCCAAACATATTCTGAGTGCTTCTCCATTCTTCCAGGGTCCGGAGCCCCTCTTGGGGGCTGGTAACTGTTTTACCTGGAGAAGCGGCCACTCCAGGGGCCCAACTCTTAGCCCCAGCAGGTAGGGGTCACTTCATCAGGACTTGCCAGAGGAGAGACTCGGGAGGCTTACTCAGAGGAGCCTCTGCTCTCAGTTCAACTGGGAAGGATAAACCAACAAGCTGGCACTAATTAAGAGCTAATGGCCTTACAATGGAGCTTTGCCAAAGGATAACGACCCTCGGGCTGCAGCATAAATATCAAGGCATTTGGGGCAGAGCCAAGACATATATTTTCAGAGTGCATTAGACACTGCCGCAGCCTGCCGCAGCCTGGCTCTGCTGAGAAGAAAAGAGAGGATTTAAGGTAGATGGGAAAGGTGCTGCGTCTTCCTAGGGCTGCCTTCTGGTCAGCTCATCAGAAAGCTTCAGGGGGACTTTCGGGAAAGACTTTGCTTTTCAGATCTCAAACTTCTGTGTATACAAGGATCATTTGAGAAGTTCGTTAAAAATGCATATTCTCTGGGCCCCACCAGCAGAGGGTCTGATTTCAGTAGCTCTTGGGTGAAGCCCAAGAGTCTGCATTTTACACCAGCTCCCCCAACTGTTTCCTGATGCTGGTGGTCCTCAGATCATGCTTTGAAAAGTCCCTCATTAGAAGCTGCTTCTACTTGTCCATTAGATCCCAATGAAAAAGTTTGTACAGAATGAAGAAGAAAGTGAGCTCAGGATCTCTGCTTCCCATGAAAACAGTCCATTCTTTCCTACCAGAACTGGGCACAAAGCTGTTTCAGAAATGTGGCACTTTTTTTTTTAATTTAAAAAATTATTTTTTTAAAATTTGTTTTTCTTTACATTTTTTAGGTGACTTTATTTATTTACTTTTTTTCAACTTTTTTTTTTGTGGGGTGGGGAGGTGATTAGGCTTATTTATTTATTTTTGGAGGTGATACTGGGGATTGAACCCAGTACCTTGCATGCTAAGCATGAGCTCTACCACTTGAGCTATACCCTCCCCCACAAAAACGTGGCATTTCAAGCCACCTTTTTGTTCCATTTCTGTTGGGATCTTCCCATTCACACAACCCTGTGGTTACTGGGAGCAAGATTCCAGGGAATGAGGAGCTCACCATGGGTCTGGAGGAACAGAGAAAGCTTCCCATCTGCATTGTGTGTAGTGGGTATACAATGCTTTTTATATCCCGTAATTCATATGACTACACTGCAGTCTTTCCGGGTAGTTAAATTAATAGGTCTGTTTTAAAGCTGAGAAATTATAGGCCTGGAGGTATGTCTTGCCTCTTCTGGTCACCATAACATCAGGAAGGATGTATGTGAAAAATGTATCACACATGTGATGAGCAGGGCAGACAAACTAAACCAATATCTTTAGCTCGACCTTCTTTGATCAGGCTTATTATCTGCTGGTAGAATTGAGGCTGGTTGTTTGCATCAGCAAATACTGCTGTAAAAAGATTGATGGATCAGATTATAAAACTAGATGGAAAGTTCGTATGTTATACGCAAGTCGAGTATGAGAAGAGGAGAGAAACAACCCACCATATCATCTGGGAAAATGAAACTCCTTGGCAAGACTTCACAACAGCCTGATTCAAAATTTCATAATGAAATTATGTCTCTGATCAAAGCCTGAATGAGCTCATGGGCTGATTTTTGCCATTTGTGTTTATTCTGGTTTGAACCAAATTGAGGCATCAGAAACACATTAGCCTAGTCTTTTCTCCGGAAGTGGGCTATTGCACCCTTGTTAGGGGGTGGGGAGGGACAGCGTGAGGCAGAAGGGGACATCTTTGGGTCTTCACTAGGTATGAAGTTGCTTCTGACCTGCTCTCAGAGACTTCCTGAAACACCACGTCAAGGTCAGGGCCATCTTAGCAAAGTCGTGTTTATGCTCATGATAGTTGCCCTGGGGGCAATAAAAGTGAGTCTCAGGGGAAAGAAGGTATTTCCCACTCTTGTCTAGGACATGGCCTGTTTTTACTCTAGAAAGAATGTTTTGGGGTTTGTTTGATTCAGACTCAGAGAAATAAAGACTCAGTCATCCCTCCCACAGTTAGAGTACCTCACTTCATACCAGGTTGTTTGTTTTGATGGAATAAGCTACCCCACAGTACAGGATCCATCTTCTTGCTGCCTAACTACCTCTTCTCCGACCTATCCTGAAGGCATAGTCATGGACATGTCCTGACAACTTGAGGCACCAAAACAGAAGGAGGTTTCTTTGTTGAAACACAGACATCTCAAGACTTTATTTGGCTGACAAAAACAGAAACTGCTGGGCCTTCCTGTCCTCATTCCCCCGCAGGAATGCAGAGACATGCCCATCTGCTATCGACTAAACGTGTCCTCCTGAAACTCATATTTTGAAACTCTAATCCCTGATGTGATGGTATTTGGAGGTGAGGAAGATGATTGAATTTAGATGAGATTGTGAGGATGGAGCCCCCATAATGGGATTAGTGCCCTTATAAGAAGAGGAAGACACCAGAACCCTCCCCCTTTCCCCAACGAGTGAGGACACAGTGAGAAGACAGCTGTCCACAAGCCAGAAAGAAAGTTCTCACTAGGAAACCAACCAGGTGGGCACCCTGACCTTGGACTTCCCAGCCCCCAGAACTATGAGAAATAAATGTTTAAGCCACTCAGTCTATGGTATTTTGTTACAGCAGCCTGAGCTAAGACATCATCTATTCATCTCTTTATTCAGTGAATATTTATTCAGTTCTTACTGTGTTTCAAGTGCTTTTCAAGGTCTTGAAGACACAGCAATGAACAAACTTTCAAGTTTCCTGCTCTCAAGCAGCTTACAATCTAGAGGAAGCAGCCAATAAGCTTGTAAATAACATAATTTCAGCTAGTAATAAATTCCATGAATAATTAAAACAAATACTGTAACAGAAAAACTGCAGGAGAGTGGGAGGTGGCTGATTTACACAGATTAGACAAGGAAGACTTCTCCCAGGAGGAAGGGTTGCCAGATAAAATACAGGATGCCCAATTAAATTTGAATTTCACATAAACAATTAATTTTTTTAGCATAAGTATGTTCCAAACATTGCATGGAATATACTTATACTAAAATGTGTTCCATTGTTTATCTGAAATTCAAATTTAACGAGCCATCATCCTGTATTTTTTAAAGTTTTTTAATTTTTAAAATTTTATTTTGGGGGGTTGAGGCAATTAGTTTCTTTTCTTTTCTTTTAACGGAGGTACTGGATATTGAACCCAGGACCTCCTGGATGCTAAGCATGCACTGTCCCACTGAGCTATATCCTCCCCCACATCCTGTATTTTTATTTGCTAAATCTTGCAACCCTACCAGTGGGTGACATTTGAGCTGAGAACAGAATGACCAGAAGAAACTAGCTATGCAAAGGTTTAGGCAAATGA